GTTTTGGAAGTTTCAGCCTGAAAAGCTTGCATGCAAGTAACTTTGAAGGGAAAAATAAATTAATGGATAACAAGGAAAATTGTATGTATTTTATTATGTTTTTAATAATCAAAATAAACAAAATATTGTACAAATTTGGTTTAAGGTAAGCTAATACAGGATGGTGGTCTACAGCAACCATCCTCGGGGGGGGGGGGCTGAAACATTTTAAGATGGCCACAGACTGAAATCTGTGAGAAGGACAGCCCCAAGAGTGGGGGGGGGGGGGTCTGAAACATTTTAAGATGGCCACAGACTGAAATCTGTGAGAAGGACAGCCCCAAGAGTTTGTGGAGCCCCTGGTAACTGAATGGATGAAATACCCAAGCATCATCAGCCTGGCCCTTTGCACAGGCTCCCTGCTGTTTTCATGGCTTTCTTAGAACTGAACAGAAGCAACTCTGCCTGCTATCTCCCCAGTGATTGCTGATGCAGGCACCCTGTCTTTTTTTTCCACTGGAAATCAGTTGCCCTGCCTGTTTTTGATTGGAAGCCAGCCATGATTGCAACCTAACTTGAGGCAGTTCTGCCTGCTGCCTCTGCAGCAATTGCTGATGCAAGCACCCTGCCTGTTTTTAGAATCTAGCAGTGGTCCCTAACCTTTTTCAAACTGCAGACTGGTTGGAATGTGGGTGTGCATGTGGGTGGGTGGGGCGTGTACACGGGTGGGTGGGGCATCCAGTCCTGCCAAGGCCACGGCCCGGTGCCAGGCCGTGAACCAGGGTTTGGGGGACACAGCTCTAGAGGATATAGTCCTGATCTTGCTACAGTCTTGAGGTGGGTGCCTGAGACTCTGACTTTTCAGTTGCTTGATAATGTTAAAAACACTACTTTTAAAGGAATACATAATTATCTTGCAGAAGAGAATCTCCGTGTTTAGAACCAGCAATAGTTCTAAACTTCTCCTAAGCAGCTTTAGATACTTACATGGCTTGCTGTGCTAGAACTTGCCATACAGTATCTCATGAAGCATCCTGCTCTCTTGTCTCTTCAAATCACTTCTTAGCTTTGGTCCTTTTCCTGCTGTCCTCTGTTGTAAACTCAGTTCCTCCAACAATGCTATGAGTACTTTACTGGGACCCTCACACAGCAGGCAAGTACAAAAGTACATAATTCCAAGACTTACACTGTAATAGCAGAGGTGATCTCTCTCTCTCTCTCTCTCTGTATAGAAACACCTCTGGCATAAACACCTCTGGTATAATATAAACACATTGGGATTACAAATATATATATAGCTGTAATCCAATACATATACAGTATATCTGTAAATATATATAGCTGTAATACTTTATTATAGCTGAGAGCTGTAATCCAAAAAAGTAACTATTTCTATTGCTGGTTCTAAACACAGAGATTCTCTTCTGCAAGATAATTATGTATTCCTGTACCCAAGCATGATAATTAATAACTGTTAAAGCACCCATTGAAATAGATGCATCGTTCAATCTGTAGACAGCAATGTCCCCCCCTTACTAGTTACTGTGTGTAATAAACAGCTGTGATATACTGCAGCTGCGGAAGGAAGTGAATCACTGTCAAAGATTAAACCTAGATCTCCCATTTAGTAGGATCAAAGGGGATTAGAAACATTTGGAATATGGAATTATGCCATAATTGAGTAAATGGAAACGCATCTTTCTTGTGCAAACATTATTCATATTACAGTGTTCAGAATATACAACTCAAACACATATTCTAGGTAAATTGTTTTGTCCTGGTTTGACTACAGATAAACCTTAGTATTTTTGGTACCTTGAAGATTGCGTTTATATGTCCCAAAGAAGTGAATTTCTTAAAAATTCTGAATCAATTTTCAACATCAGTTCATACTGTTGTTTTTTCACATCCCGCAATTTTTTGTGTGTGTGTGTCTGTCATCATGCTCTTACTTCCCTGCCGTTCTCTGAAGATTCTCTTCCCTTGTCTCTAGTTACCCCACTCTATTGCTCTTTGGGAAGTAGTTTAGACAACCATTTTATTATAGCAGTTAGAGAATTATCATAGCATATGAGAGCCTAGATGAACTATATATAAATGATGAAATGAACACAGGTTTAGTATTAGAGCCAAACCTGTTCTGCAGGATTGTCCTAAGAACAGGGTCTTCCGTAATTCTTATTCAAACAAACACTTTAATATGAGATGGAGTTGACCCTCCATGGAACTCTTCAACAGCTCTTCCGAAACATAAAACTAGCAACAAAGGTACTACTGTGGGGTGGACAAAAAAATTCCTAATCATGCAGCTACTCTATAACCCACTGAAAAACTCTTGCTCACCACCTACATAGCAACAGTACTAGCACCAACCATCACTGGGAGGAATGGAGGCAAGTGATTGAGGTTTCCATTTAAATTGCAATTTGTACTATACAGTATTAATAGCATAAATGTTGCAATTGGAAGGTACATTGTGGGCACAATAATATAGCTGTCTGTTCAATACATGATACATCTACAGAGGGTTGTCCAATTTCTGCATAAATACCTCCAGTGAAGAACCTGGAACATCCTCAGGCAGTCTGTTCCAGTGTCCAACAACTCTTATTGGGAGGAAATTATTCTGATACAGTATTTAGTCAAAATCTGCTTCCTTGCAGTTTCTACTCCTGCTTTCTAGAGTCACACAGGAAGATTCCACCCCATCTTTTGCATTCCTTTCAGATATGTGAATACTGCTGTCATATGCCTAATTAATTGTTACTTTTGTGAAGCACACATATCTATCTCTTTCAAATGTTCTTCACAGAACTTAATTTCAAGAACCTCCACCATTCTGCTTGCCCTCCTTTGGACACACTCTAGTTTCTCAATTTTATTTGTTATGTGCTGTCAAATTACTTATGGTTGGTGACTCTAATAGGATTTCTGAGGGATATGAGATGTTCAAGGAGTGCTTTACTATAGCCACTACCCTCCAGTGAGTTTCCATGATCTAGTGGGCATTTGAACACAAATCTCCTGAACCCCAATCTGTCACTTAGACACTATAGCACAGAGGTCATCAATCCCTGGTCTGCGGCCCAGTGCCGGTCCATGGCCTGAGCCAGACTGGGCTGCGAAGACAGACCTCCCGCCCCCCTGCATGCACTCCCCTCCCCAAAGGTGCTTCGTGCATGTGTGCACATGCCAGCGCCAGCGTGAGCGCTTCCCCACCCCTTCGTGCAAGCACATGGGCACATACACACATCCCCATGTGCTCCCCCACCCCTTCACGCATGTGCCCGAGTGAAGGGATGTGCAGGTGCATGGGCAGGCATGCAGGTGCCCCAGCGCATGCACAAAGGGGTGGGGGAGTGCTCACACCGGCACTGGCAGGTGGGCACTCCCCCACCGCTTTGCGTATGTGCCCGAGAGCGTGCGCACACCTGTGGGGTGCCCCCCGTCTTTCTCAGAGGCTCAACTGGGTCTGTGGTTCCAAAACGGTTGGGGACCACTGCAGCACACTGGTTGTCAGTTTCTCAATCAACTTCATAAAATGTGGCACCTAGAATTGGACGTTGTATTCTAAGTGGCATCTGTCTCCAGTAAATCTAAACAACAGGCTTTCGTTAATGCACCCAAGATGGCATTACTTGCATAAGAGTAATTGTCAGCATGTCAGATTGATGGTACAGACCTGTTCCTGACAGCTTCCCTTCCTTCAGGCATATAAGGGATCACCAACTTTGGAAAAAAAAAGTTGTGGAGCCAGAATTGAAGCATTGTGATTTTGTGGATAGCAGGAACAAAGGCTTCATTGCCCACCTGCTCAGGCTTTCCCTTTATCTTCAGTGCTTAGCTGTATACCTGACAGTAGGAAGCTAAGATGTGTGGAGGTTCCACCCCTGACCCAGAGAAACAAAATATTCTTGTGTCTGTTGCAACGCAAATCATTTGGCTCTGGTAACTTGGTCTTGAATGGGCAATGAAAATGTAAGGCAGGGGGGAAAACCCCCTACAAGAACTAGTTTGATATTAGGAATCAAAACAGTGGCCTATATTTAATTTTAATTTTTGGTTCTCTCTGAAGATTATTGATTATGGGGGTTGCTATTTAAGGTGCCTGCACTTTAAAAATTACCATTGCAGGAGTACAGAAAAGCAACTATTAGGTTTTGAAGTGTTCCTTGGGCATATAGAAGTGACTATATGGGTAGTCAAGATACATGATACAAGGGTCTGCACTTCAAAATTCACCACCAAATGAGTACCTTCAGGGAAAAAAAAACATGTATATGAGCAACAATCCAACAACTGCTAATGTCACCACCCTGTCATGGCCACTATGCCACCCTGCCTTTTCTCAGCAGAACCTGTTTTGATGGAGGAAGGAGGTACTATAAAGGAATCAGGAATATACTATACCATACAGGGCAATGGTTCCCAACCTGGGGTCCCCAGATGTTCTTAGCTGGCAACTCCCTGAAGTCTTCACCACTAGCTGTGCTGGCCAGCTAGTGAAGACTACCAGGAGTTGTAAGCCAACCACATCTTGGGGACCCCAGGTTAGGGAAGCACTGATATATGATTAGATTATTTTTTTTTTTAAAAAAGGGACCTATTCCTTTAATAGCCACTTAGTAAAGGAAATGCCAGCTGCTGTAGTTTTTAGGGCCAGCTACACCTGCTGAAATTTACACTTCCACATAACAATTAAAGGTACAGGAACTCACTGGCATGTTAGGAGGTCAACAGCCTGAAGCCCCTGTTAACACACTTGTGCTGCATATATGTTAGCAATGTTAGGAAAGCGCACTAGTAATATCTAACAGCCCTGACAAATTTCTTCAATGCGGAGTTCTAGCGTCGGCTGCCTCCCTCAAAACGACTCCCGCCAAAATTCACGCTCCACGAGCCCCGTCGCGCGGACAGATCGATCCCAAAACGCGCCAGTGCACCTGTGCCTGACAGGAAGCGCGCGCCCGCCGTCAGCAAACAAGTGGCCCGGGCGCCCGAAAGGGCGTGGCGGGCGCAGCAGGGAGGAGCGGGCGAGCGGGCGGCTCCCCGAAAACCCCAGAGGGAAGGAAGGCGCTGGTGCGTTTTTTCGTCAGCAACAGCCAATTCCACGCAGCGGCCAGCGAGCGGCGCCAGATTTCGAGAATTGACGCGGAGCCCGCGAGGAACGCGCACATCCCTAGCCCGAGACTTGCACAGGCACATACGGGCACGCATACAAAAACCACACACACACACACACACGAAAGCGGGCTGGGCGAAGCCGCTTGAGCTGGGCTCTCGGTGTTTCTTCCTGACCCCCAAACCAAGGGGTGGGCAACGGCGGCGGCGGCAGCAGCAGCAGCGAGGCTGAAGGTGAGTGGAAGCGAGCGCATCCCGCGGGCCAACTTGCTCCGCGCTTCCTTGCTGGCCGAGGCAGGGGATCACCGCCGCATCCGCGTCCCCGCCGGAGCCGCGCTCTGCGGGAGGGGCGGTTGCTAAAGGCTGCCCTTTGGGTAGAGGGCGAAGGACGCGCGGGGGTGGGGGGGGAAGGGAGAGACAGCTCTTGCCGGGCGTCAGGGTGGCGGGGAAGACATCTTTCTGCTTCCACTCAAACTTTCCCGGGAAGCCGCCCGTCTGCCCTCGTTCTGGGACTGCTCCTTAGTCCGCAGTTTGATTACGACCCCTTAAGGCAAAATTCCGGGTTAGTTGCCGTCAACGCCGTGGAGAAGTCGACGGGGAAGCTTGTGCCTGCGAGAGGCTAGGCTTTGTCTCCACCAAATACATTACGTGCCCAGTTTTCTTCCCCGGTTTCGCGATTAAGCCAACGGGCTTGCTTTTCAGGCGGGCCGGCGGGGGTCTTGTTTTACTGGACTGATTGACTGAACCAGGGATTTCTCTTCTGTCCCGTACCCCCTCGCCCCAATCCCTTTGGGCCGACCCTTCCTTCCTTCCTTCCTTCCTTCCTTCCTTCCTTCCTTCCTTCCTTCCCCGCTCTTTCAGATGCCCAGGATATTGGCCCTAGTTGTTTGGTGTTTTCTGCAAGTGGAAGGCAGACATCCAGAAATCGCCGCGGGTAGCAGCAGCAGCAGCAGCAATGCCAATTTCCTAGACAATGACAAATGGCTGAGCACTGTTTCCCAATATGACAAAGATAAATACTGGAACAAGTTCAGAGATGTAAGTACTCCTGTGTTTTCCCAAGCCACTTCTTAAGACCCCCCCCCTCCCCACCTTGGCTATGGGCTTTTCTGAAGAGTAAGAGGAGGAAGAGACAGATCTCTGCAAGTGGTTGCTGCAGCAGCTGTATTGGAAGGAAGCAGCCAGCTCTGTAAAATGTATTTAGTCTTCACCTTCTTCCTAGTCTCTGTATGTTTAGTCAAGGGGTTAGTTTTCTTGGCCTTGACTTTGCCTTCAGGGCAAAAACTTCTAGAGAACTTGGTAGGTTGGTTTAATCGTGGATGAGTGACAGTGAAATGCAGCCTGCTGAAATGTACACGCAGCTTGATTACTCACTCTTACCACAAGGTGGTAAACTCTGAGGCTTGCTCTTGTGCACGTGTGACAGGAGGCAGAAGAAGCAGGCGATTCTGTTCTCTCAGCTTGTCTCTTTCAAGTGTTTGCTGCGGTGGTGTCCGCATTTCTTGGACTTGGGGTGTTAAGCATTTGGAAATATAATTTTAGACATGTCTTGACTCTGGGGGATTTTGGTGTTAATTCTGGGTCGTTTGTATGAATTTCAATATGTTGTGAAAAAAAAGATTTTTCAAAAGTAAGATTTCAGAGAAGACATGCCCTTCAGAAGGGTTTCTGAGTATGGCAAGCCACATCAGGCTCAGCAAGGGGCAACATATAACGTACCGGTTTGGTTACTCGGTTTGTCGAGACATTTTTAGGACTGTGTAGAAGAAATGCTGTGATCGGCCATTAACAGATTCTGTTCTTCCTCTGCAGTTGTAAATAGAAAAAGGATATTTTGTTAGGTGGCTCGTAGGAAGATATTTGGGAAGACATCAAATATTATTCAAAAAACAGTATCTGTTTATATGCTGTAAGAATACTGTCCAAACAACTGAGCAACCTGGTGTTGGTGACAGGAGAGACAAAAAAGCCCCCAGAGTGTTAAAATGATGGTGCCCCCTGTAATCCTTAAATTCTACATACTAACTACAGGTTATTCTCTGATTAGTATTATCGTTCACTTCTCATTTATAATTACTGTTTCTTTGTGTTAGGGAAACTCTTGGGGTCTCAATAGTATCTGTGCAAAATTTCACGTGTCTTAACTCTGCATTTTCAACACCTTTTGAAAGAAACTAAGTCTTAAGTTTTATTTCTAAGATTTTATTAACTAAGGAGTTTAGCCATGCATCATATGAGTAATCATAAGGATACATTTATAAGGAGGTGTTATGAATCAGAGAGAGCGATTCTCACTGATTATTGAATTCTGACCACAGCAATCAATCACTTAAGTCTGGTTGTTGCGTCCAGTAGGTCTGAATTGCAGCGTTCGTTCAGCAAAACAAAAAGGGCAGGGCTCAAGAATATTGTAAGATTTGATTGTGTACCTTCCCACATCTGTCTTGGGATTTTGTGTAATAATCTGCAATGAAATGTCACCTCTGAGTAGACAAATGGCAGTGAGAGGAACTTGTAAAAGGGGTGAAGTCAACAGCCTCCAGGAGGTTGGAAAGATGTTCCAATTTATTCCTGTTTCAGGATCTTCAATATCCCCCTTAGCTCCTTTACATCGCAGCAGCATGACAGAAAATATGTGTATGTCTTGCAATATTAAGGAATGGACATTATTGTTCAACATTTATTATGATAGATAACATCAACATTGGAAGCAATTTTACAGCGTAATTATGAACTGACAGATCCATATTCTGATTTTTCCCCTCATGTAGTTTATATTATCATCTTTATCTTTATTTGCCAGAGGTGAGTAGTCTAGTTGCTGGATTTGAATGAAACTATCTGGTTCTTAACATGTTCTATATTTCTACTTCAGCTTTAGGAAACCAGAAAATAAAAGTTATTCCAATAAAAATTCAAAGGTGGTAGTTGTTGTTGTTTTGCAAATTCCGAAGAACTTATCTTTATGCTAGATGAGATACTGTGTTACTGTTAGGAGAGAGGTTTCCAGACTGGTTGATGATGTTGACAAACCAACCAACCCTGCTCATGCATTTTAGTCTGAAAGAGTTGTGAGCTCATGGGAAGGCATATAATGTTGTTTGCCAGACACTCTTATGAAGGTCTGAACAGGAACTTAGAAGTGGAGGTTGACTGGGCTTACAGAACTCCCATGAGCCCTCATCAGGCAGGGTGGTCAGAATCATGAGAGAGTGGCTGGAAGGTTTGAGTGGCTTCTAATTGGTGGGCAGAGTGTATGTATATGCTTCCATCCCCACTGTGATTATAACCTTTCATGCTTTCAGACTTTTAACACCTGAATAAGGCAACTGTTTTGGATAATTGCAAGAAATTACTATTTATGAAAGCATATTTAAAAGCTTTTATGTTTTAGTGATGAAAAGTGTGAGTAAGTAGGCAAGACCCTGACTCAAACCTGGTGAGATAAATCATTGTCTTTCAGGCATGTGTACTCATATCCAATGGGTGTAATGTTAAAATGTTTGTGTCTCTGTATGTATACATATCTGTGTACATGTTTATTATCCTTATACAGTATAAAGATAACACTGGCCTACCTTGCGGCATTGTGTTAAGGAATAAGGTGGTAATCCATGTGATGAAACCTGGATACTCTGAAGTTCTATATAAATGCTTGAAGTTTAAACAAAGCTTGTCTTTTAAAAGACATGAGATACTCCTTTGTATCATAAATCTTGAAGTTTCATTGTGTTTTAAGTGAAAATTTATTTTCTTTTTAGTGATTATTAGAAACTGTCAGATATTGTTTGTCTTAAGCTGTCATTTCTGAAAACTATGCCATACTCAAATAAGAAAGCTCAAGGGTGAAGAGAAGATGTCAAAGGGGGTGGGGGGAGAGGGAAGAGACAGGTATCTAGTTGTCTTGTGTGCTCCCAGAGGCATCTGGTGGGGCTACTGTGAAATACAGGAAGCTGGACTAGATGGGCCCTTAGCCTGATCCAGCAGGGCTCTTCTTACGTTCTTATGGTACCACATGTGTTGTAGAAACATTAGAGGCATTTGAGGAGATATTTGCATGGGTCAGTGCCACTCAGACATTTGTAAACTGGATCAGAGCAGATCTATACATTCCCCTCAAATGTGTAAGCTGAAAACTTTGCCTGCCCAATGCAAATATTATTTTGTGGCACAGTTGTCTTTTTCTTTTTTTAAAAAAGTTAGATCTTGGATTGCAGTTCTAAGAACTTCCCAGCACATATGGCTACTGGCCAATCTGGTTGAGGTATTTGGGGAAATGTAGTTTCAAAAAAGTAACTTTTTCAAATTCTTGTTTGAGGTAGATGAAGACAATTTGTAAATCACATGGGCAACTGCTATATCCTCATAATGCTGTAGATATTTGCTTTTACTGTTCCATATCCTGACAAAAGGGACGTGGTGGCGCTGTGGGCTAAACCGCAGAAGCCTGTGCTGCAGGGTCAGAAGACCAAGCAGTCAAAAGATCGAATCCACGCAACAGAGTGAGCGCCCGTTGCTTGTCCCAGCTCCCGCCAACCTAGCAGTTCGAAAGCTTGCAAATGCAAGTAGATAAATAGGGACCACCTCGGTGGGAAGGTAAACAGCGTTCCGTGTCTAAATCACACTGGCCATGGGACCACGGAAAGATCGTCTTCGGACAAACGCTGGCTCTATGGCTTGAAGAGCGGGATGAGCACCGCCCCCTAGAGTCGAACACGACTGGACAAAAATTGTCAAGGGGAACCTTTACCTTTACCTTTATCCTGACAAAAATGGTGCACGTTTGCAAATCTTACCATCTGGAAGGAAGTCAAGTACAGTAAATGCATTCCTGTTAGCTCTGTATGAGAAACTTAAATGAGGTAACTTTAAAAAATATATATAAATTAAGAATTTCTGGTCAGAATACTGTTTATTGTTTTTGTAGCAAAATACTCCTAATTACAGAGATCCTGTCAACTAACAAAGTATGATGGAGAGAAAAGTACTAATATTGGCATGCATTGTGAGATGGGAAAAGGCCTGAGTTCGTAAGGATGCTACCAGTTTTAACTGGGTTTTGAAAAGAAACCACCCTCCATCTAAACTTTCTTTGAAACCTTCCTACAAAGATTTGTATTTGCAGCATAAGTTGAATTTCTAATAACATTCAAAATAATACTTGATCAGTACTTGAACTATGGAAGTGGAATACTTAAAGTGCATCTGTATGTGAGCAATGCAGCAGTTTTGAATTAATTTTTTGCTTTAGCAGCACCTATGAAAGTGGGAGGAAAAAATCCCACATGTTTTATCCACAATGTATAGTCAATGCATTTATTTTTAAAGCAGAAATAATGAACTATATAGTAGAAACAAAGAACAGAAACACTTGATTGGCACACACGGTAGTGCTGGTTACCAGCCAGTGATAGGCTCAAGCTATAGAAGCCAGATTTAAGCTGAATATCAGGAAAACATTCTTAACTATTAGAGCAGTACAACAATGGAACTGATTATCTTGGGAGTGCTCCAACGCTGGAGGAATTCAAGAGAAAATTGGACAATCATCTGTCGGATCTGCTTTGATTTGGATTCTTGCACTGAGGAAGGGGTTGGTCTTGATGGTCTTATAAGCCACTTCCAGCTCACTTGTTCTATGATTCTATAAACCATTTCCTTGAAGCTTTCTCACTTTTGCATGTTTTATTTACACAGTCAAATGCCTGTGTGCTGGTAAATGACATAGAAACTGCTAAAAATATTCAGTTTCAGCTGGGAAAGAGCCAGAGTTCTGTGTGTGCTAGAATAGTGCCTTCCCCATGCAAACCTTTCTAGATTAGTCTTTTGATTACAGCATCTGGCCCAGTAGGTAAAAAGAGGGACCTCTCAGCAGGGAGTGGGCCAGGGGTTTGCTTTACCCTCTTCCCTACCTGGGGAGGCCTTTGGTATTGCAAGGCTGAGTTTACCTAATCCTTCTGGAGTTGATTTCTCATATCTGATTGCAGAACAGAAGCCATCAGATGAATCCATAAATCATCCCCTTTGGCTATGTTGAA